TATATATATATATTAAGAAGAGTCATTGGTGTCTGTTGGATTTTAAATCAACTGACTCAGAATAGATCTGGTTTTTCTTCTCTATTTATTCCTACATCGCAATTGTGCTGTTATGGCATTAGATACGATCGGATATAAGTTTTTGGATAAACCTTGAGAATGATACAATCTCAATGAATTTTTTTTCTGAGTGAAATCTTTTTCTCTTGATCAGAATGACATTTATTACGTCGAAATTGTGGTCAGATGTATTCGCTGAACTACTGGACCGTTTAAGTATTGGCTGCACCTTATCACTATCACTATCGGATTCAGAATATATATATATATATATATATATATATATATATATATATATATATATATATATATATATGGAAATTGTTTCAAATCTGATTATATATATATATATGAAGAGTTGTGGTTTTAACAAAATGGTGCTCGATATAAAATAGTAGAGCTATAAATGATATATTAATAATAAATATATAAGTTTTTCCTCACCAGTAGTGCAACAACTCAGCACCTGAAGATTACGCCGTGCGTGAAACTCAAAGTTGAGCCACCGGTGAAGAAAAAAATGTATTATTATTATTATTTTTATTATACAGACATTACGTCTGCTATTTTCTTTTAACAAAATCCGTTCATATTCACGAATAACCTTCCATGCATTGATGTTAAAGGATGAAAGAAATGCTATAACTGTTTTGTTACAAATTAGCAGTCATAATGTCTGTAATTTATTCAATCATACATGTCTAAAAGAGGATTTGCTGCCCTGATACAAATTTTACATATATATATATATATATATATATATATATATATATATATATATATATATATATATAGGTGAAAAATAATTTAATCATAAAAAAATCGTGCAATGTAATATTTTGCTTCTCTGGCAAACATTTGTATTTTAAAACATTTGCATTTTAATACATTCGCATTTTAAAACATTTATTGTTCAAACTCTTTGCATAATGACGAAAATAATAAATCCTGGATAAAATCTATTGGGGAAAATATTAATTTAATTATTGTCTGCTTTTTCATTTGGGGTTGTTGACTTTTTTGCTTGTTTTTATTTGTTAATGTTTTAAGAAAAAATAGTTATTCGATAAATTCTTTTTTATATATCTTTTCTTCCTGCCTTCATCCATTCTCTTCTTTCATCCTTCCTCCCTTTATTCATTCCTTTCGCTACCCTTGCCAACTTTCCTTCTTAGATCCCTATAACAATCCTCCATTTTCACCATTTTTAAGTTAATATCTCCCTAATAATTTTTCCTCCATTTCTTTTCTATCGTCTGGTTGTTCATAATGTTTCTTTCTTCTGTCGGACAATTACATTACTTTTTATGCACTTTCTATTCTTTCATTCGCTCTATCTATTTTTTTAATCCTTTCATATATATATATATATATATATATATATATATATATATATATATATATATATATATATATATATATTAGATTAGTTTGTGAGCATGGGTTTCACGTTATTTGCGATCAAAAATAGCGTGAAACTCAAACTCAAAAATCACAAATCCAACTTAATATATTAGCCCTATCACTAATATTGACCAACTTTCCAATAATACCCTGCATATATAATATATAAATAATATATATAATAAAATTGCATATATATATATATATATATATATGTATATACATACATACATACACAACACACATATTTATATATATATATATATATATATATATATATATATATATATATATATATATATATATATATATTTGCTTTTATTCTTCTTTATGGTGTCTCCATGATCGATACATGTGCCCACAATCGTTACTCCGGCCTACTTCTCGTTCTCCTATCTGAAGTTATTTTTTTCTTGTTATTAATAAACTTCTTTCTTAAATAATAGGAAGTTATCTCTTCCTTTACAGACAAAACAAACGTCTACAGGATTTTATCAATAGTACTTTCAATCTATTTTATCTATGTCGTAAATAGTATTAATTACTTTTGTTTCTAACTTATTAGCTTATCTGTTTGGGTGCTAAAATTTCAAGTTTTTTTACGCTTTCAGATTTTACTTAACAAACGCGAAAATTTCGAATCTTTAATCAATTACAGTTGAAGGCGACGTCAGTGCAGCAATAAGAAACAGAATATCACTTACGCATGCGCATACAAATTACACACGTTTTCAAAAGTTACCTTTGCGTTTCAAATATCGGGATGGGGCAATTATTCATTATTTTCGGAAAAAATTCAACAATCATAGCTTTATCTGAACGACTTTTTTTTGTTTTTATTAAAGATGTATTAACTTCTTTTCTATCCTTTAATTTAAGCTGAGAACATATTAGAACAAAGCGTTTTATTAATGAAAAATGTAAAATATTATTTTTTTTATTATAAACGAAATTACAGGTCTCATTTTAATTCCAACTACCCAGCCAATTTGGAATCATGTGAATGTACTTATACTTTCCTGTCAATTGGGATCTTCAAAAATGTAAATGCAATATCAATCGTTATCTTCTGTCTTCTTGAATCTTGATCATTCTTCGTTCTCTCTATTTCGTGCATTCTCATTAACCCTTACCATTTTAGTGGCTTTATATCGCCAGGTTTGAGGTGAAATCATATATTCATATATATATATATATATATATATATTTAGTTATATGGATGTGAGTTTGTGACCCTGGGTTTCACGTTTTTCAGACAAACTGATATGCGTTTACGTAACAGAAGATAAAATGGTATTTGTACATTTGCTATTACAGTTTTGGCGTTCTGAGGTCTTCCAGATAATATATATATATATATATATATATATATATATATATATATATATATATATATATATATATATATATTCAGGAGACACACTTGTGTAGTGGATAGTGGCTCGATCTGAGTTCGAATTCCAGTCGAATCCATTACAGTCACTCTTGCTAATACCCTTGTGAAAGGTATTAATCCTCTCCTTCTCCCTCTAGTTATGGGTAAATAGCAGACAGACTGTGTTCTATAGCCTTGGATCTAGTCTAGGAGAAGGACAACACTGAATTTAAAACCCGTGAAGGGTCGTTTGCACCAGGTCTCTGCATTTGGCACTTCAAAAAGTGTGGTTGGTTCTGAACAAAGCCTTCACCATTATAATCAAATCATATGTGCTGGTGTCTGGGCTGCCGCTTCCTAGGAACTCAGCTGTGACCCTCATACGTCAGAAACGTCAAATACAGCAGGAGAGTCCAATATATATATATATATATATATATATATATATATATATATATATATATATATATATATATATATTATATATATATATATATATATATATATATATATATATATATATATATATATATATATATATATATATATATATATATATATATATATATATATATATATATATAGTCATATATATATATATATATATATATATATATATATATATATATATATTATATATATATTCATTAGAGTTCAGAATGCCAAAACTGTAATGGCAAATGAACAAATACCATTTATTCTATATATATATATATATATATATATATATATATATATATATATATATATATGTATATGTGTGTGTGTGTGTGTGTGTGTGTGTGTGTGTGTGTGTGTGTGTGTAAATGTTCTGGCCATCTTGAACAGAATGTTGATGCCGCGTGTTAACATCAGTGCCCACTTTTATTTTACATACGTTCTATTCCAAATATTGAGCACTTTTTTAAATATAGTATTCCTTAGAACTATATCTTATCACACACATTAATATATATATATATATATATATATATATATATATATATATATATATATATATATATAGATATAGATATATATATATAATTATATTTATATACAAAAGCACACAAACATATATTTAATAGACCATTACATAATCAATAATAAAATACAAGATAACGTTGATACAATAACAAGTTACATATACATATATGCAAAAAGAGGATTACACCAATGTCTTATTCTTCAATATGCTGTGTTCCTTTAGCTCGTAGGTGATCATGCCTCTCCACTACTTTCCATCCCTTGTAGCTCTTAGCAATGTTTGACTTTTTGCTTTCCTTCCTATTAAGTGATTTACTTTCTGTTTTCCCTATATACCGCTTGCCGCCAATATGTCATGTGAGTATCAAATTTTCCAAGCTTTTTTTCTTCTTATGCATCCCAGAAATTTCCACTCTCTCTCTCTCTTTCTGATTCTAAGTATTCTTCACTATTCGTTAAAATTTTCCTGTTGCTTACATGCTACGTCCGTTGTATTCGCAGCATCTTTCTCTCGAACGACATCTCTGTTGCCTTAAGTCGCCTCTTCATCTCTGAGGAAAATTGTCCCGTCATATAGAGGTACTGATATTAAAGTTCATATTCTTTTCTTTATTTTATATAACGGCATTTTCTTGTTTCATTATACCTTGTTTCATAGTTCGACTCATACATGAATAGAACGGACAGACTACTGAATTTACAGTCCTACATGGGTTTAACCAGGCACCTAGAGTCCTATGTTTAGATGAATAATGGGAAAAGAAAACTTGAAATATATAACACAAAATATTTCGTTATTTCAGCCAACGCATGCTCATGGCTAAAAAAAAATGACTTGTAAGATATGATAAAAACAAATGGTCATATACAAATCGTTTACATTATACTGAATTATTTGTTAACTGCAAAGACTTTGGGAATTTAGCAAAAGAAGATAGATTATTAGTTCAATGACAGGCATATGTTCATAAAGCACACACACATACAAATACCCTCACAAGCACACGCAGAGAAGCACATGCACTTATACAAATGTATAGACGGATGGGTGGATACGTACGCACATATATAGTTTAAAAATGCAACACATACTCGCACACGCACACATATATATACATTAGTAGCAAATAGATAAATAAATGACTGGGATAGATAGAGAGAGAAGGAGATTTAAGCAAAATGATAGATAAAGAACGGGTATAGATTTATAGACAGAGGGGAAGAGAGAAAGCAATCAGCAGGTTGTAATAGATAGATAGATAGATAGATAGATAGATAGATAGATAGATTGTACTTTAATGAATACTGAATGTATCTTGGCATATGTTTACAGGCTTCATTTCTTAACAGATTCAAAACCCCGTTAGTTATCAACTGAGATATAAGACTTGCGCAAAATACACACATATATTCCTGAATATGTATATTTTTCGGTCACAAATAAAAATATACGTTTTATTTTCCGCAAACATATTTTAATAAGAATGTTCTCTTCATGCAAATATCTGCAGTAAATCTGCACCCTCACACACATGCTGACATATATTATATATATATATATATATATATATATATATATATATATATATATATATATATATATATATATATAGATAATATTAGTGGAAATATACATACATATGAAAATATATCTAAAAAATTTCCATACATATATATTTTCAGAAAAAATTTTTCAAGAGGAAGGATCCAGGTAGAACGCAATTATGACCATGGAATATTAGTGTTTAAGCCTTTTATTATATATATACATATATATATATATATATATATATATATATATATATATATATAATATAATGTGTGTGTGTGTATGTGTTGTGTGTGTGTGTGTGTGTGTGTAAATGACAATGTGGGGAAACTGAATAGTGACGCGTTTCGTTCCGAGAAAGAACTGCTTTGTCATATAACTATTTAATTGATGAAATCAATCATATAAAATTTACAAAAATAAGGAGAAGTAGAGGAGGGTATACAACAACCACCGGTTACAATTTACATCGAAAAATTAAAGATACAGAGACGCTCAGCATTTAAATTGTATCGTGTATTTACATCACTGTTAATATAACAACTCACCTTTCTTCCTAAAATTAATATTCATACATTTCGGTATAATTAAAAAAAAATAACAATAAAAATGTGAAAGATAAAAAGATAAATTTTTCATTTAAATACGTCAATTGTCAAAATGTAAATCTAATTGTTGGGCGTCCCTATATCTTTAACGTTTCGATGTAAACTCAAACTCCAAACATATATTTCATATATATATATATATATATATATATATATATATATATATATATACCGATATCACTTTATTTAGTCAAATAATAATAATATAATTAAAAACAGAAATATCTGTTTGAGATTCGCTCATGTAAAGAGAAACACACACACAAACACATGCGCACGCACGCACACACACACACAAACATATACATCGGTATCACTTTATTTGGTCAAATAATAATATTAATACAATTAAAGACCTGGATACCTGTTTTAGATCAGCACACGTAAAGACGCGCATGCGCACAAACACACACACACACACACACACACACACACACATATATATATATATATTATTTACCGGTATCACTTTATTTGCTCAAATACTAATATTAAAACAATTAAAGACCGAAATATCTGTTTTAGATTCGCAGACAAAGACACTTGAACAACATATTACACACAAACACACACACACATATATGCATACATATATATACATACATATATACATATATATATATATATATATATATATATATATATATATATATATATATATATATATATGCATATATATATATATATGCATATATATATATATATATATATATATATATATATATATATATATATATATATATATAAATATGAAATTGTCCTTAGCTGATTGATGTAAAGGATAAATGTTCAAACATTCCACATTAACGATGAGTGTGTGACATAGGAATCAATATCGTTTAGTGAGTGTCAGTTACATGTCTCAAGCAATGTTCTCTTTGAAAATTGCATCAGGAATGAAACTGACCTCCCTATCTACACACTGTCAATATGTACAAAGGCTCTCTCTCTCTCTCTCTCTCTCTCTCTCTCTCTCTCTCTCTCTCTCTCTCTCTCTCTCTCTCTCTCTCTCTCTCTGATAATGTCTTCTCGCATAATTATAGCAAATTTGAAACTAAATATATGTAGAGTAAATAAAATATAATTAAAATACTAGCTACTATTTATCTCTCCGGTCCAGCTTGTCCGGACATTCACGAGTCTATCACGCCAAACCTCAATACTAACAAATAATATATCAAATTATACAATTCAACGTATATCAGATTTTACCGAACCACTGCCAAGAAAGTGCTCAAATGTGCCCCCACCCTCCGCCACTTTGTGTATATCGGAAATTGAGAATGTGATACCGAAATCCGAAGCTGCATTGAGATGGGGAAATATGACTTCCGAATGCTAAGCAAAGTATTAAGGAACAAGAAAATGTCGTTAGAACCAAAGAAACGACTACTGTTATGTAATATCGGTCCTCATATATGTCGGTGAATGTTGAACAATTTCCTCACAGTGGAAGATGAGGTAAGAGAAATGTGATTCTACAGAAGGATACTGAGAATACCAGGAACTGAACACTGAAAGCAACGACGTAGTTTTAGAGAAAATGATAACAAAAGGGACGCTTACAGTTAGAACCAGAAAGAGACTATTGAAATTTCTAGGGCACATAATGAGAAAAGAGGGCTTGGAGAATTTAACACTCATATTGAAGGCAAGAGGAACAGAGGAAAGCAGCGAGTAACATCCCCAACTGGCAAAACATTGCTAAGAGTTACAAAGGACGGGAAGTTGTGGAGAACCGTGGTCTCCCACGTCCTGAAAGGACACGGCAAAAAGAAGAAGAAGAAGACGAAGATATGTCCATGTTCTTTATACGCTAACAAAGATACCTTTATTCTATAACTGATTTTGAACTCATTCACAAAAGATACAAAAAAAAAAAAGAAATTAATTTATACCAAATAGATGTTGATTGATATATTTATTTTTTTACGGTTTATCAACTCTTTGCAGATTATTTAACGCCAGAAAATATTTTTAGATTAATATGATATAATAATGTGAGCTAATAATATTTTATGTGATGCAAGTTTTACAAATTAACCAAAAGCAGATGTTGTTTCATTTCATACCTTCCTCAATATTATTTATACATAAAAGATTATAAAGAACTCAACATGAAAAGAAACTCGGATTTCCAATTAACAATTCCGAGCCATTATTCATTAGAATACCCGTACGTCCAAGTTAATCACCTGGCATTCTAAACGGTCACCCATCTGTGTACTGATCTGACTCGACGTTGCTTAACTTCAGTGATCTTACGGGAACCGGTGATTCAAAAAGGGACGTGACCGTAGCTATTTACTAAGTTTACTGAAACAAATATATTATAGTAGACTTTGTGAGGATCGAACTCAGTACATAGGCTACTGGACTAAATCGCTAGCCGCTACTTGAAGGTGAGTGAGTGAATGCGTACAAGTAAATGATTGACTTAAATATTTAGTAGAGCGATATAGTCACCCATTTTTTTTTTTTTTTTTTTTTAGTAAGTGAATTGTAAATGATGAATAGAATATGACTAGCATAAAGAGGGAGAAAAGATGTAACAAGGTAATCACTTTTGCAGAGATCTACTGATTCGGGTAGAGATAGGCATTCAACAAATCTGTCGTCGTATAAGTCCCATTCACAGTATGAAAAGTGCAGATTAGGGGCAGTAACGGAGTTAATGGAGTATTTATTTTCTCTTTCGAACACGCGCGCGCGCACACACACACACAGACACACAAACCATCACACAGACGACTGACTAAAGACAAGCCCATCAACAAAAAGAGAGGGAGGGAAATCGAGAGGAAGGCAGAAAAAAAACAAGGGGAGGAGTGTATGAGATATTAGATTCTGTGTCTATAAAGAGGAGTAGAGGGAGATAATAAACAAGAGAGAGAAAGATAGGCTGTGTATCGGTTGTGTGAGCGCGTTTGAATGGTGGGAGGAGAAAGATTAAGAGAGTGGGAGGCGCGGCTTGTTAAATGATTTTGAGTGTTTGAAACGTAGAAAGCTTTTGTTCACGCGAGGAGCAGGGAGAGACGTCGGCTACCACCGCCCAGAAAGAGAAAATCGGTGTGCAGTAGCAGTAACCCTATTGCGCCACAACGACTTTACCAAACAGAGTAGATGCTATATACCGAAAGTGAAAGTTGGAATAAGGGTCCGTTAGACAAGAAAAAAAACAAAACAAAAAAACAAAAACAAAAAAAAAAAAAAAAACTAAATCTCTCCCTTAAAAAAAAAGGAAAGAATAGCAAATACGAAAATTGACAGGTTACAAGAACATACAAGTAACACAGGCTACACGCTAATCGCTTTTTCAGATAAAAATGTAAGTTCAGTTTACGAGGAAAGAACACACACGAAAACTGGAATAGGAAAATACAATGATTAATTCATCCACACAAGTAATACTTTAATTTTTATCTACTAAATGAAATAACAAATCCAATTTAGTAGAAAAGTAAATCTAACGCCAAACACTTGATTTTTTTTTTCTAAATCATGCACTGGAAACATGTAAACAAAAAGTCCTTATATGTATAAATATATTGCATACCTTTTTAAATTTATTTCAAAATTGTCCTGTACGATATTTCACATATGAGCCCGTATGGACTTTTAAAAATATATATTTATATAAATACAAATTTTATTATATATACTAACATGAGACGCTTATTTTAGAAAAAAAATAATATTATACGAAGTTTTTTTTCATCTTTGTCTAACGAATATTGTAGATAAAATTCAAACATATACATAACGATATCCACATACATTCATATATATATATATATATATATATATATATATATATATATACACACACACACACATATATATATACATGCATACATACATACATATGTACGTCCGCCTTACTACCAGTATTTTATTTGAACACTACAAAAGATACGTAAGGAATTATAGTCACAAGATCAGTTTGATGTAGTCTTTATAATATAGACATTTTTTTCGAGTTTCAGGCTGTTTTGGGGAGGGAAACGAGAAATTAATCAATCAAAATATCACTAAACAGAAACATATACATATATACATAGACACCCATACATACTTTCCCTCTCTCCCCCTCTCTCTCTCTCTCTCTATATATATATATATATATAACACTAAGTTATATATTTAAGTATTACATACTTATACGTGTGTGTTTGTGTTTGTGTATGACCGTGAACGAAAGATAAAAATGCTCTTCTGAAACAACGCTATGACAAGTTCTTAGTGTGCCCTTTCCACCTGCACCAGACTGACGGCTACAAAAAAAAAAAAAAAAAAAAACGGAAACTACACCATCACTGTGGATATTTCATAAACACAAAGAGACATTCACACGATCAGATGTTCTTACATGGACATGAAAAAGAAAATTTATTATAAAGAATGCAAACCCGGAACAAACAGTCAAGACGAAACAGAAAGAGTTAATTAATTTAAGAAAGATCATCTTTTAATCTATGAACAATTTACAGCTCAAGATTCTACTTAAACATTTATATACGGATGTCTTTCAACAAATTACGGATCTACCTACAGGACCAGTTGCAAAAAAAATATCATTAACACTATTTCCATTAAAACTCAAGAATATATAAAAAAAAAAAAACATATTTAAATGTTTATATATATATAAATACACATCTATCTCTCTCTCTCTCTCTTTTTTCTATATATATATATATATATATATATATATATATATATATATATATATATATATATAACCATACTGACGTATCACGTAATATATATTATATATATATATATATATAAATATATATATATATATATATATATATATATACACATATATGTTTGTGTGAGTGTGTGTATTTTACTTAGTAAAATATTGTTTGTTAAATTATATAACTTTTAATTTTCTATTATTTTTTTTAAAAAAAACCTCTTCAAAACTAAGGAATTAAATATGTCTTTGTTCAAAAAAAAATTACTGCTATACAATCTTGGAAACATTTTCGAGTACTTGTTATTTTCCCTTGTTTGAATTGAAAGTATTGGATTTATACATATGTACATATATACATACATATATATATATATGTACATATATACATACATATATATATATATATAATTTTGAAGCGAAGTTGTTTTCAGCATGCCAACGAAGATAGTGTTAAACAAGTACACACAAGTTCTTCGTTAATACAACGAACAAAATTTAGTAAACCTCCCACTCACACATAACGTTCTCTGTTTAGTGAATCGGATATTTTAACATTTTTATTATTATTATTATTATTATTATTATTATTATTATTTGCATCCTTTGATGATTGTCAAGAATTTCATTAAACACCGTCCTTTAAAATACGCATGTATCCGTGCACACATAAGCAAGAAAAGCAGTCAAAACTAGATGTATTGAACGTATAATTCCTTACGTATAAATCAAGTTCATATATATATATATATATATATATATATATATATATATATATATATATATATATATATATATATCGTTATCTTTTTAAAATTGTTTTTTATTGGTTGTTAACTTATATACCTACATATATATAATAAAAGACAAAAAACGTAGGCTGTTTTCCACGACCGTGAGTTAAAAGTAATTCGGCTTTTACAATTTTAGATATTTGATAGAATTGATGCTCATTTAGTATATGGTAAATGTATTTGGTGTATAAACTCTTACACAACATACGCAATCATATATACAAATAAATAAAACTATCTACAAATAAAACAAAACAAAAAACACTCTAGAAACACCCAATTTTAGAAAGAAACTCCATTTAAATTAAACATCAATGCTTTTTACAAAGAAAATATATCGTTCAGTTACAAAACATAAATAACCTTATAATTTTAGAGTACCGGCAATATTTACTTTAAACATGTATACAGTCGGGTATATACGTATACATATATACATATGAGTCCAAAACATACGTTTACACATATATATTCACATTATTATGCACATATTTTGCTAAGAATTTAGATAGATAGATAGATAGATAGATAGATAGATAGATAGATAGATAGATAACCCATCATTAACTACATATTCCATTTAGAATACAGAAACAAAAATTATGCACAAAATTTAAGTGTCTATTAACAACTTCAACACCCCACCAAAGAAAAGTATTTGCAATTACAGTTTAACGAAATAAATGACATTTATATGTTTATATCAGATTATCTACATACATAGAAATACTTACTTCCAGATATGATTTTTTAGTTTAAAAAATAAATCTACATTCCACCTATATATTTAGAATTACATATACATTATTTTTGTTGTTCAAAGCATAAACTACATTCATAAACTTGCGTATATATATATATTTTATAAGCCCACAAGAAGCGTTTATTTTTTACATTACATATATATTTGTATATATATATATATATATATATATATATATATATATATATATATATATATTCTCACATGTCAGTTCTAATTATGGCCAGTGTGTGACAAAGTGACCAAACAGGTCTCCAACCATCAATGTCTGACTAACTACATACTGACTGTCACATCGTAATCACTTTCGCGGACTACCTGTAATCCTTGTCGATTGACACAGCAAAGACCCAGAAATGTTTTGCTTTCACTGTCCACCAACATTACATCCCGTTACCCGACTTGGTATGGATTTCAACTGTCAACCAAGCCACCCCTGTAAGTACCTATGTTTATTTATAGACTGATTTTATGAGTTTTGTTTTAAGAGTTAATTATTATTTATAATCATCAAATTTAATTTATTTATTTAATTTCTATTAATTTATTTAATTTTATTTCGTAATTTAAAATTACGTGTTTTTTTTTTGTTGTTGTTTTTTCTTACCAGTTATTTTTTTCATCAGTTATTTTTTTTTAATTAAAAAGTCTTAAGTTGTCCGAATTTTTTAAAAGAAACATTGTCATTATTATTGATTTTTGACGTTTTTTTTTTTATGATCGCAATGCCCAGGTCGATATTACATTCTGCAACCGTTAAATAAGCATCATGGATTTGAAATAAGCTTCCTTTTTGATTTGAATTCAAGTCCCTTAACCGTTTGAAGTTTTTATAACCGAAACAACGGATTACCGATTAGACTACGGAAACTACAAGTGGTCAAAAATTAATAATAATGAAAACATAATATTTGTTTAATGATAATAACCTGTTTGAACGCCGGTTCTGTTGTTTTAATATAAGATAAATACTGAAAATGTGGGTATTGCAGATTTTACAAGTATACCAATGTACTGATTACCATG